TAAGAAATATATCTAAAAAAATATTCTTCCCAAATATATTGACATATATTTGAAATGCTACAATTTTGGCCATATTCTATATATATATATATATATATATATATATATATATACTGCATGTTGAAATGCCCTTTTATTACAAAATATATGAAAAATATTTTTCAAAATACATTTTAAATATACTGTAAAATGTATTTTTAAAAATATTTTTCATATATTTTGTAATAAGGGCACATTTCAACATGCAATATATATATATAAATATATTTTTAAATATATTGAATATGGCCAAAATTGTAGCATTTCAAATATATGTAAAAATATATGTTAAAATGACTTTTTTATATGTTAAAAAAAATCTGAAGAATACATTGAAATAAATATATACCAAGATAAAAATGGTGATGGGGAAGGAGCTCCAGCTGGTTGACAGTTCCTGATGGGCGGGTGTCCCTTCCCTCCAATCAGCTCTCAGAGCTCTCCTCACTGATGTGACTTTGGCTCTCCGCCCCTTGCTTTTCATAGCTAGAAGATCCTGTGTAAATTCTGCACTTTGATTAGATGTAAGGGACAGACTGTAGATCAGCGGTTCTCAACCTGGGGGTCGCGACCCCTTTGGGGGTCGAACGACCATTTCCCAGGGGTCGCCTAAGACCATCGGAAAACACATATTTCCGATGGTCTTAGGAACCGAGACACCGCTGCAGTCTCCGGCGATGTGTGTGGGCGGGATGATACGCTGCTGTCACCCGGCCACACCTCCAAGATCGCTCAGCAGCTCCGCCTCCTCGCCGCTGATTGGCCACCGGAACTGTAGCTCAGGAGAGGCACACAGGTGGCCAATCACCGGCGAGGAGGTGGAGCTTGGAGAGGAGGAGCCAAGCGGCAGCGCGCGGACATCAAAGAAGACCGAGGGAGCGAGTGAAGAGGAGAGCGGCCAGAGAAGGAAGACAGCTGACAGGTAAGTGAGAGAGCGAGCCCAGGCTGGAGCAGGGGTCAGCAAGGTAAGTATCATTGGTGTCAGTGGGAGGAATAGTGCCCCATCATTTGTGTCACTAATACCAACGATGGGGCACTATTCCTCCCCCCACTGACACCAACGATGGGGCACTATTCCTCCCCCCACTGACACCAACGATGGGGCACTATTCCTCCCCCCACTGACACCAACGATGGGGCACTATTCCTCCCCCCACTGACACCAACGATGTGGCACTATTCCTCCCCCCACTGACACCAACGATGTGGCACTATTCCTCCCCCACTGACACCAACGATGGGGCAGTATTCCTCCCCCCACTGACACCAACGATGGGGCACTATTCCTCCCCCCACTGACACCAACGATGGGGCACTACTCCTCCCCCCACTGACACCAACGATGGGGCACTATTCCTCCCCCCACTGACACCAACGATGGGGCACTATTCCTCCCCCCACTGACACCAACGATGGGGCACTATTATTCCTCCCCCCACTGACACCAACGATGGGGCACTATTCCTCCCCCACTGACACCAACGATGGGGCACTATTCCTCCCCCCACTGACACCAACGATGTGGCACTATTCCTCCCCCCCACTGACACCAACGATGTGGCACTATTCCTCCCCCCCACTGACACCAACGATGGGGCAGTATTCCTCCCCCCCACTGACACCAACGATGGGGCAGTATTCCTCCCCCCACTGACACCAACGATGGGGCAGTATTCCTCCCCCAACTGACACCAACGATGGGGCAGTATTCCTCCCCCCACTGACACCAACGATGGGGCAGTATTCCTCCCCCCACTGACACCAACGATGGGGCAGTATTCCTCCCCCCACTGACACCAACGATGGGGCAGTATTCCTCCCCCCACTGACACCAACGATGGGGCAGTATTCCTCCCCCCACTGACACCAACGATGGGGCAGTATTCCTCCCCCCACTGACACCAACGATGGGGCACTATTCCTCCCACTGACACCAACGATGGGGCACTACTCCCCCCACTGACACCAATGATGGGGCACTACTCCCCCCACTGACACCAATGATGGGGCACTACTCCCCCACTGACACCAATGATGGGGCACTACTCCCCCCACTGACACCAATGATGGGGCACTACTCCCCCCACTGACACCAATGATGGGGCACTACTCCCCCCACTGACACCAATGATGGGGCACTATTCCTCCCACTGACACCAATGATGTGGCACTATTCCTCCCACTGACACCAGTGATGGGGCACTACTCCCCCCACTGACACCAGTGATGGGGCACTACTCCCCCCACTGACACCAGTGATGGAGCACTACTCCCCCCACTGACACCAATGATGGGGCACTACTCCCCCCACTGACACCAATGATGGGGCACTACTCCCCCCACTGACACCAATGATGGGGCACTACTCCTCCCACTGACACCAACGATGGGGCACTACTCCTCCCACTGACACCAACGATGGGGCACTATTCCCCCCACTGATACCAACGATGGGGCACTATTCATCCACTGACATCAGTGACGGGGCACTATTCCTCCCACTGATACCAACAATGGGGCACTATTCATCCCACTGACATCAGTGATGGGGCACTACTCCTTCCACTGACACCAATGACATGGCACTACTCCTCCCACTGCAAAATTACAGTTATGAAGTAGCAATGAAAATAATTTTATGGTTGGGGGTCACCACAACATGAGGAACTGTATTAAGGGGTCGCGGCATTAGAAAGGTTGAGAACCACTGCTGTAGATAGACAGGCACAACCAATGCAGGAGGATTTGTTTCATTTCTGTGTATCACCTGAGGCCAGACACGTCACTGGGTATTAGTAAGTGTTTACAATCATTTTAAGGCTAGCCAGTCTACTGGGTTGAAGGTAGGGGCAGCATATTTGACCTACAGTAGCGGAAAGTATTATCTGGCCCAGTGAGTAAATGTAATATACAGTATGTACACATAACATTAGGTGCCTCTAATTTAAGCAGAACTGTAATAAAAATGTTAAGTTTCTGCTTCAGCGAAACTTTGCTAAATCGATTTCGCCGAAATCTCGAGGATAATCCTAATCAATATGAGCATGACAGACAATGGAACTGGGAATCACAGCATTGAGAACTTCCCAAAGATAGACAGGATCTATACTGTATGAATTTTAAATTGACAAAGTAATATCAGAGTCAAACCCTCATGTTTATAGGGTGGAAAACACCAAAGTAATCTGAAACACCCCTAAATACTAACACTACATTACAAAGCATTTTAAAAAAAACTATATGGTAAAATTACTTATAATACAGGCTAGATGACAATGGATTTACAACCAGTAAAATGACAAATGAATTCCAGTTGTATTACCGTATGGTCCCTCTCTCGGGGTATCTGCAGATATCTGGATAATGTTTGTCCAATAGATATGGTGTACATTACTTCCAGACCATGTTCCAAGGATTTTTGTGGGAACGGCAATTTGAAAGGTTTTCCACTTAAATATATAGTTGTTTGCATACATCTGCAGTCTCGTAAATCATGTTATTTTAAAAAAAGTAGGACTGGCAACCGGTTTTTGAATTAAAAATGCTGTTACTGCAGTAAGAACAATTTTCTGTATTCACTTCAAGCTATAAAGGCTCGTTTAGAGCTGTATGTACATTGCATTAGGAAACTACATTTTCGTTCCTGCTTGTGTTCAGGATCAGAGCTCTTTGCACTTCAACTTTGATGCCCCTAAACTTAAACTCCTGCAAGCAGCAGTTTGGGTGCGTGTTTTGTGCAGTCATAGGTTCCTCCAAGGACACCTTACCACTATGCTGTATCTGCAATTTAAAAACTCATGAAAACATTTTTACCCATGATATTTAATATACAGCTCTGAACTGTATAAGTTCCTTAAAGTGGAACTAAAACTCAAAAAGTGAAAATTTACTATGTAGAGAACAACTAAAGAGGTAATTGTGCATAAGCAGTACCCTTAAAAATATACCCTTTGTCTTGAATTCCTGCTGAAAAAAAGACATGCACTTCCTGGTATGTTAGGGTACCAATGCACTCTTGTTTTGTATGTCTGCAGTTTAAGATCATCTACTACTGGTTTCACCAGATCTGTATTTGGTGTAGTTACTGGTACAGTATGTTGTTCACTGTTCTCCTTGCAGGAGGTTCACAGACATCAAGATGGAATCAAAGCCCTGACTCTACCAAACAGCCACTTTCACACAAAGACACAGTGCAAGGCAAAACATGGTAAGTCAGTTATGGGGGGAAAAAAATCAGCATCAGGGAGCCTACAGGCAATAGTGATGACTAGTTTCTGTCCCCCTTTGCTGTCTTTTTTGGGAACATTTTCAAGAGTTTAGTTCCTTTGCTAAGTAAGGATTATTAAGGGGAAATCAATTTGACAAGTTTGTATTTTATTTCTTTGTGGTCTCATATGTTTTATGTACAAGAACTGATGGAAGTGAAGGTGTAACTGCTTACATAAACAGGCAACTTGATAGTTCAAGATTTAGCCGGTGAACATCAAAGTTGTCTGGATCCAATCAATATGTGATCAGGTCAACAAATAAAAATCAGATAGCACAGATGTAGATTTGCCTGGTAATTCTATGGGTTAACTATAATTATAATCACCAAGTCATTCAGTTTGTAGGTGTAATATCTTGGAATTTCATGTCTGCCAAGTCTCATGTCACATGTAGAGCTGTGTAATGAAGCTCCTCCATTCTTCAATAAATTTTCCCAGCAGTCTTTTGGCCTTGTACCTCTATTAGAGTAGGAGATGATCTTACCTCTAATTCCTGCTATGTGAAGCAAAAATATCACAAAGTTCCTTCACTCCATAAAATGCACCAAGATGACCATGGCCTTCTTAAACCTCTACTTTTCAAAATATCGTTCAAGGCAACAAAGCATGCCCCCCAACATCAACCTTACTAAACCACGTTTTGTCCAGCTAGTTGTTGCAGCCGTTGGTGGCTGTTCAGAGGGTCTATTTTCTTGTCCTGTGAGATATATAAGAAATATAGGTTTGTGAAGGCCATGGTGCCCTGTTGCCCTATCTGGAGTGAAGTAATTATGACACGTTTCCTGACTAAAGGATCAACCAGGGGCAGACTGACCATTTGGAAACCCGGGCAATGCCCGAGGGCGCGGGGTCAGTAGGGGGCCCCATGAGATGCCCCTGGTACCTTTTTCATAGTCTTTTTTGAGTTTGGGCAAGGACACAGGGGCCCCATGATCCCCTATTGCCCAGGGGCCCCATGAGTTGTCAGTCCGCCCCTGGGATCAACAGCAGCTGAAAAAAGAATTAGAGGTCTTAAGCCTTAACCCTGTTAGTTAATGGGAATTTTGTGAGCTAGCCACATGGCACTGTCTCCCATGAGGCACTCTGTCACTTAGCACTCTTGCATACCACACGCTATCAGGGTACTGGTACTCTTCCTCTCCTAGCCTTCACAATTGGCTCTTGCTCATGTGGTACTCTTTCATATTGCACTCTCTTTACTAGAGCAGTCTCTTTCAAGATGTTCTCGCAATGGTAACATCTAAAAAACAGTCTCATTCAAGATCTTTTCTCCTTGAAACGGTATACTTTCACATGCTCCTTCTTTGTAATTAGGTCCTCTAAAAAGTTTCAGATTTTGTCAAACTGCAAGTCTTAGGCAGTTCTGATCAGCCTGCTGGGATCTTTAATTCCACAATATTTAGATATTTAGAAAGTCACACATTTTTAAAGGACTTTTGCATTATGCCTGCTTTCCATTGTTACAGATTTGCCTCCTTAAAATGGAAAATAGATACATGATGAGCATATTGACAAGATGGAAGGGATGCATGAGCAACAATTTTATGCATGTATATCAGGGTACCACAAAGCACTGGTGGAGTGTTGTAGGACAGCAACTGTCTGGTTGGTTGGGGGAGCTCTTTCCATAAAGTGAAGGCATACACAGTATACTTCTACATTATGACACACTTACTACAGTGCCCCCGTCCTCTGCTGGCCAGATCCACACTTGCAGTTAGTGCTCTGTCCCTCAACCCCACTATCTTCTCTGACACTTACTTTAGGTCCCATGTCAATCCTCTGCAGTCATAGGTGGCCACTGATGCTGCATATTCTAAATGTGCACAGGAGTTACATACTTCCTGGTACCTGGCTCCATTCTTTGCATTCTAAAGTTAGTGGGATTGAGCCGGGATTATCAGTGCACTGTGCAAGAGGAAGACATTTTTGGCAAAAGAGACTTTGCATGTCTCTTCTGGCCAAAAACCTCTGCTTGCCAGCAATTCCTGATTTCTGCAATTTAGTTCCACTTTAAAAATGGGTAATAAAGTCTTATGTTCCTTTACAAGGTAAATGCACCATAAACAAATTACACAGTGACTCCATTTAATGAAAAAAAGGTTGTGTGCAGGGGCGGACTGACAACTCATGGGGCCCCCGGGCAATAGGGGATCATGGGGCCCCTGTGTCCTTGCCCAAACTCAAAAAAGCCTATGAAAAAGGTACCATGGGGCCCCCTACTGACCCCGGGCCCTCGGGCAGTGCCCGAGTTTCCAAACGGTCAGTCCACCCCTGGTTGTGTGTAAATGTATGGTAAATTCACCACATAAGAAACATGTCCTTTAGCAAAAAGTAGATGAGTATGTCTTCTTAGTGTTTCCCTTTAACATGCATAAATCTTTGCAGGCAAAAAGCATCCAAAAGTGTCAAATACCTTATTCATTATTCCATTTAATTTTTTGCATTTGCTGTGCCTCAAGCTTACAGAATTTGTAATAGGCCAACAATCCAGCCATTTGATTACAATAAATTTGCCGGGCTCATCATCATTCCACTGCACTCCGTTCTGATTATCACTGGACTTGATGAAAATGTAAATTTACAAAGCAAGAAACTGGTCTCATACCAAGATTCATTCAAGCGTCTCGCCCTGTTCATCAGTGATTTACCAGCAATCCCTATCCTGGGGAATGAATTGAGAGCACACTGACAAACAGATGAAGTGTCACTGATAGGGGAACGGATAAGAAGGCACTTAATAAAAGATTATTTACAGTGTATATCTCATGAGGTTAGAAAGAACATTGTAAATTTAATGTTCTCCCTTTACCTTTTTTCTTAAGGTTATGTACCCATAGAATTATTTTGCGTGCTTTCCAACCATAATTTCTTTCATTTTATTTCCCTTAGAAGTATAGAAGTCTTCCATGCTTACTTGGTTCTTTGTAGTGAGCATAGCAGTATTTTTATAAGCATATGGGAGTATCCTTACCAAGAAGGACAAGTGGTGATACATCTGCTCATTGTCACTTGAATCAGCACGTGCAGAGAAGGGTTATGTAGTTAGGTTGAAAAAATACATGTGTCCAATAAGATCGACCAACAGACAAAACATTAATTTAAAAAAATACTTTTGCAGAACCCTACACTACGATTAACCATGGGGAAGACAAAAACTCCTATAAAGGATAGTTCAATTTTGCTGCAACAGGAAAAAATCCTTCCCTGTCCTGTAAGGCAATCAGTTACTCCTTGTATCAACAATCTACAGCAGCCTTACTGAACTGTTGTATCCCAGAGAAATTCCTAAAATAATTTTCATTTGAACTTCATTGGTTTTTCAGGAAAAAAAAAATAGGTGTTTTTGAACATAAAATATAGAAGTGTGCAACGTGGAATTCAGAGATCTCACATATAAAAAATAGAAGTGACTAAAACCAGTAAGTACTTAGTTGTCCCAGTTGTTATGGTATGTGTAAATGTAGGTAGGAAAAGTCTGATGGTAGTATCGCCAGGGGTGGGAAGAAGGAGGCCAAGAGAGAAGATGGGATGAGTAGCTCTAGACTTCAATATACTTGGTCTGCGATATGCATAGGCAATGTTCTCTCAATGCTGGTCACCTTGGTACAGGCTGTTTGTGCAGGATTTAGTGGCTTCTAGAAGGTTTGCAAGTAATTTTCAGGTCTCAGGAAATCCTTCGAGTGGTGGTCAGAATTCCACCCTTACAGAAAGCTTAAAAGATAATTGGTGTCATGCTACTGGCTTTGCCAAGTGGCGTTGGCTCTAGAGTTGTGCAGGCATCATCAAACGGGAAGTCAATGCCCCACAGTTCAAGGAACTTCTAACAAATTTTGTTTGCCACCAGCAGTGATCATTGTGTTCTGCTGGCACAATAGCACTACGGAAAGGATTCCCAGTATATATACCGCTATTTGTAAACACTATAACTTTCACGTAAAACAATTAATTTACACGTATTTGGATTTTTTTAGCAAGACATGTAGCAGAATACATTTTGGCCTAAATTTATGAAGAAATTAGATTATTTTAACTGGACATGTTTAATAGCAAAAAGTTACACATATTTTTTTTATTCTCAAAATTGTCAGTCTTTTTTTAAATTATTATTAAAAACACACAGGCGATCAAATACCACCAAAAGAAAGCTCTATTCGTGGGAACAAAAAGGACGTAAATTTAATTTGGGTGCATGACCGTGCAATTGTCAGTTAAAGTAACGCAGCGCAGTAACGCAAAAAATGGCCTGGTCAGGAAGGGCAGTTAAAAAAAAATCACAAATGATCTTTTCACTAGTCTTGCGCAGCTCTCTTTTTACAGTTACTGCTGACCAGCACAGGACTGGTACTCAGTACCACATATTCCAGCTTACGAAGCTTACAAAAGTGGAGTTACCTTTTAAATATGTGTACTTTGAAGAAATATTCCTACAAAATGTAAAAAATGAAAACAGCTAACATCTTCACCTGAAATTCAGCAGACGAGTTGAGATGTGTTACAAGCCAGGAAAAGTTTTGCTTCATGCACTGTAGCCAAAACAGGGTTTTATAATGAAGCCACTCATACCACATTGCCAAATGACCATATGGAATGTATTTAAGAAGGAATTGATTTGCAAGACATGCATAAATCATATATTTTCTTAACCTGGAGGTAAAATGTCCATATCTAGCTATGGCAAAATCATAATAGTGCTTTTTTCTTAGTCGTGCTCTAGCAAAGGTGGACATTGTCAACTGATCCACGCACAAAGCTGGGCCAATAAAAGGCGCAAGCTTCTCATCCAGCAGCTGTTCCCAAGTCTTGGTCTGGCTTCTTCTGCTTATATGTGCCATTGAGAGGTCAGCTAGTTGTGCAAAGAGGTTTTCAACCAGCTCCTGTTACTAGTCAACATGACAGAGCATGTGAGCTTGTCAATAACCATTTTTTATGGAGGAGAATAGAGAACTTTGTGAGCTGTGAGACATTTTAATGAGGGTCGTCATGAATGAAGCATTTTGAGAGAATACCCAACTGACATCAATTACGCTAGGGGCGACTGACATTAGGAGAATTTCTACAACTCTGTATGGTTCTATATTGTTGTGTCTTGTGTGGAAAATAATTAATGCCAATGGGCCCATGTAATAATTTACTGTCACCTTAAAAAAGTAGCTTGACGAGTGATTAGTTTAGGAACATTTCACTATTTTAGACTTTCATAGGTTTCGGTTTGCTTCTGTGTAAGGGATGCCATAAATGCAACAAAGCTGTCATCCAATATGCATTTTTAACTGCTGAAAAGCAGGGTTACAGGTCTGGGGGAGATTTCCACTCATCTTTACCCAACAATCTATGGTTGGGCATAGATAGGCAGAGGTCTACCCAAGACTTATGGGGATGGGAGATACCTGCCCCTTCTCAAACAGGGCAGCAAGATCTAGCCTGTATTTTGTGACTCACCCTAGAAAAGGAAGTGGCAACATTTTTGTGGCACATTGAAGAATAAAATTGCTCAATTACACTCCATAGGGAAATATAGTTTCTACTGATCACCCCATAAGCATTGCATTGGGCTACTGAATCAGGGGCAGTGTTTGTACACTTTTACATGACCTAATAGTTGTCCCATATTTACATGCAAGATTGGATAAGGGAAGGTTATTAAATAGTCTACTTCCAAATAATGTTTTGAACACTTCCAGTGGACTTTATGGGGGGCAAGGGGGTGAATAGAAATGTTTGCACCTCAGTGCTCTTAATATTATGTCAAATTTAGCATTAGAAGCTTTAAAAAAAATTCAGAGGGTGTTTAACAAAGGCAATCTTTGTATTCCTCTCAGTAAAGGTTTCTGTTAAGATAAATTAAACTAATACACCCAATATGTACACTCCCTGTTCCTTGAAGCATTATTTCTTGTTATCTGCCACTATTACATAAATAATTTACATTACATTTACAGTACACCAC